GCTGTATCAAATGCAAGGATTATTATTACTATTATTATTAAAATAGAAAACGCTACAAATGTACACCAGGTCAACAATCAACAGCTAAAGAGGGAGTAACTTAAATTTTTCAGGAGAATCTTTCAACAGAGCTAAGAACAGATGTCGAATGGATGCAATGGATGTGTTTTTCCTCTTATAGGAGAAAAAACAGGTTAATAAAAGAAAAGTTATGATGAAACTCACTTTCACTGTAATGTACTTAAAGGCTCTTACAGTTCATAATAAATTACACACTTGGCAGAACTGGTACACCTGCTCCTCTTCTCAAAACAAAATAAACCTATAAAGCACATATGCTTATTCAGTAAATATTCCTCCTAGTATTGTAATAGCCACATAGTAGACCTATTCATGCACATAATATAGCACCCAAGCCATTTTCTTAAAGGTTATGTAAACCATTCCAGCAAAGACTTTTTCCAGTTATAACTAATAAGATGGGATGGTCCAAAAACGTGCACATAGCCCCCAAAAAATACATTTTGTTTACGGTACATTGAATATTCAACACTACAGGTGAGGATGTATTAAAAACACGCAAACATTAAGTGGGGCCCCACCTTAATTGCAGTTTATGAACGCAAATTACAGCTAAGACGAAAAACAAATTAAAGTAATAATTAACAGTGACACATTTATGAGATCTCTATTGTGCAATTGCAGTCAGTCAAACAGTAATTGGGAAACGTGGTCACACATTCCTCTCGGTCAACTCATTACCAAAGTGTAATTAACTTTTGTATTGAGCGCATTTGTTTTTGTGAGCATAAATAAGAAAGTGTTTTCCCGCTTCTACCTTCAGACCATCTCCCTTCCCCTCAGGCCTAATCTTTTTCATTCTGGCTTAATGAGCAAACGCACCGCCTGGTACAGAACAATTACGAGAGAGCAAGAAAACTCATGTTGGTTTTCTCCAATACGTTGGGTCCATTTAAATCATAAATGTCCTATTTGTGTAGGCTCAAAGTGGGTTGTAAAATACAGCGTGTGTTGGTTTAGCTGAGGAAGAAGTGTGGGTAATGACAGGTTCGCCTCAGTGCCTTTGCTGAGGAGTGGGGGAGGAGAAAAGGAGGAGGAAAAGGTAACAGCGGAAAATCATTCAGCAAAGATTTCCACTTGCTATTCAGTGTCTCTCTCCTGTAAAGCGTGGGGGGGTGTGGGGAACATGATTGGGTTATTTATTGCTGTTAAAGCTTACACAGGTCAGTAACTCACTGAGGTCACCTGCAAGGAATTGCCACATTGGAAGGGATATTAAAATTCTGATGACTGCCAGTGATGACGGAACCAGATAATAATAATAATAATCCTTGCACAATGACTACAGTACCTTATCACGTCTTCGAGACGTCTCAAAGGGTTTCGCAGAATACACTGTAAAGTGAATTGACTGTATATTTTGGGGGCGAAACATGATATCCAGTTGCTTTCAGATGAAGAGGCGAGCAAATAAAAGGGTTCAACTCAACGCTTACCATGGAAACTGAATTGCTCATTTCTTTTTAAATGGTGGAAGTCACGTGAATTTGTTCCCTGGACGATCACACAGAAATAGAACTTGCTGGATTTAGTTTGGGAGTGCTTGGCAGGAACACAGTTGGTTTAAATAATATTTGATTTAACCAATGCCAAATAAAATGTCCAAAATAAACTGGTAATGTTCACTACTTTACCCTTTTAACAGAGACGGGGAAAGCTATGAATTAGTGGCAGCTTTTCAACAGTCTCCAGCAATCTGAGCCAAGAAGTTAATATAGAAGTGCCTTCACACGTACCCATGTGTTTACTAACAGCCATGATACAGAGCTGGTTAGAGTACTATACCGTCCTGTAGGGGAGCGGTTAGAGCACTCGCCTCACAAGAGGTTCCTGGGTTCGATTCCCGGACAGGACGAAACCTTAGACAAACTTCCTTTAAATCTCCACATGCCTCTGTTTACCTAGCAATAAGTATGAACCCGGTTAGTCGATTGCCGGATCGTTTTTCCGGGGGTGATGTTACATCCCTTCAAAATAAATAAATAATAATAATAATAATTTGGTGACTCCATCTGTGACTGGTTGTGGGACGCTGCTGTGAGCAAATAGCTATTGCATTTCACCCACAAAATATACAGTCAATTCACTTTACAGTATATTCTGTGAAGCGCTTTGGGATGCCTCAAAGACGTGATAAGACACTAATCCAATGCAGGGATTATTATTATTATTATATACAGGTGTTCTACAATGCAGCACTTTTCCTGTTGCAGTCTGGAGCAAATGCAAGGTAACCTGCTTCACACTTGTTCATAACCGAAGAGAGTTGAAATTCGCTAAATTGCGCAAGCAGCACATTTTATCTCGAATAAGTCTCGTTTAAAAATAGTCGCTGTTTTACTGAGCTGCCTTTTCATTTGATGCATGAAAAGTTCTCGCACAAAGGTGATAATCGTTGCTCTTCAAGGACAGCAGCAAGTGACTGCAGATCACCTTTGCAATATTTTTGTTGTTTAATGTAACACAAATACTCCTTGCATTTTATACTTATATTTCACATTGGGATGACATCTCAAAGCCCACAAAATATACAGTCATATACACTTTACAATATATTCTGTGAAGCGCTTTGAGATGTCTCAATGACGTGCTAAGCTTTTATATCAAATGCAAGGATTATTGTTGTTATTATGTTGACAGCCAATAGGGCCCTCTAGTGGAAACTGTATTAAGAAGATGTAAAAAGGCAAACAAGGAAAAGTGACTTTGCTTACTTTAGCCTCTCTGACAACCTTATTGCAATGGAATCATAGAATTACACAGCATAGAAGGAGGCCATTCGGCCCATCGTGTCTGTGCTGGCTCTTTGAAAAGAGCTATCCAAATTTTAACCCAACGTGAACTCCTGTCACAGGATCCAATTGTATTTGGAAGAACTTCAAATTTTTCTCTCTATTACATCCAAACTAGTAAATTATTACAAGCTTTTTATCACCTTCATTACCAGCCTTTTCAGAATGTTATTGGTTTTAAATTGACATTTCACGAATTTCCATTCTTATCCTGTGGTCTTACCTACTTATTTGCTTTACTTTGAAGTCATCGTTTCCATTAACTCATCTGTGTCATATCCTTCAATAAGAAATGCTCTTAGCTTCCTTTCATTTAATCTGATATGAACGTGTGTGCGCCAGTACACAGAAAAACTAATGGATTAGAGATCTGAAGTGCAGAAAGTGCTAATAAAACTTTGCATTTTCCCATGTCCCTTCCCCACAAAAGCCTTTGTGTGGGTTGGAGAGGACTCCGATACAACTTGTTCCTCAGCCTTGAAATTCAAAATGCCGTCACTTTTGACCTGAGATTGCAGAACCAACATCAAATAAAAATTCACCCCTCAAATCCATTCAAGTCAAGTGTGGTTCAGTGAGTGCTGTCTTCACTCTTCGGTTAAATGAAGCGCTTTGAGACGTCTCAGCGACGAGATAAGGCGCTGTATCAAATGGAAGGATTAGTCTAATTATTATTATTAATATACAATATCCACAAAGTGGAAATCACAGTGAGTGACTTGAATCAGGTTTGTACACATCGCCTTTTCGACCCCCAAATATGCTTTCATTCAGACCATTGGTTGTAATGTGATGGCATTTAGCAGCAATAAGGTTTGCAATCCCGTGGCCAGATCACACAGTATCCCCAAGAACTTTGCTTGCAATGACTGAGCATTTTACACAGCACTCCAGCAACTCACACACAATCAGAAACAGCTGAGGCCGAGGACAACTTTAGCGCAGTGACTATAGATTACTTTAGCAGGAGTCGATTAGACAGAAACATTTACTCATGCTACTTTAAAGCTACAACGCTCCAGTCCTCAATGTCGTTTTCTGACGACGAGTCAGGATTCCCACTTCATCAAATTAGCAGCAAAAGCGATTGAAACACAAACAGTTCTATTTCAGCGCCGAATGATTAAAAAAAAAATTTGTTCCTTTGCATAGCAAACAGAGAGCCGAGAGAGAGAGAGAGAGAGCAGCATAGATCAAACCAGAAAACGTGCACAAGTAAAAGGGGAGAAAGAAAAAAAATAAACTATATGCTGTGGTCCTACAGATCTAAGCCATGTGGTGTGATTCGCTAAAGAGTGTGTTTTTTCAGCTGTATCGGGACTTCTTTCCATAAACTCCTCTGATTCTATTAGTGCAGAACATAGGGTGAGCGAAAAAAAACAATTAAAACACTTTAAAATGCCATTTCAGGGCACTTTTACTATTCTAGTTTTGAAGTACCGCATAGCTACCATGAAAAATTGTAATAATCCTTCCATCTGATATAGTGCCTATAACATCAAAGCCCCTCACATGTAATGACTGGCAACTGTAGTGACCGTGTCTTTGTAGTTAACTCGGGACTGAAACAGAGAAGATAACATAAGGAGATATAATTAAACACTGTGCTCCCTCCCTGTGCGTGTGTGGGGTGGGGGGGGGAGGGAGAAATCATCAACATATAGCACACGTTCAAATTATTTGATAGTACACACATAACCAAACTGTAAATAACAGGACCTGGTCACGGGAAACATAAGCTGCTGGTGCGCAGGAGACACATACTGTATAAAAAAAAGCAAATAACTGTAAATATGTGGTCCCTACAAAGTTCTCTGCTGAACAATAGACATGTTACATACCCATCAATCACTTAATAGGAACTCACAATTATAGCATGTGCTGACAGCTCACCATATGAGGCCTTCAATTAGCCGAGTTTTATTGCAGCAAAAGGCATAAAAACATTACGACTGATTGCACACTGAAATGTCCTCCTTCGCTCCACGGGCAGACGTGGAAATCCATTTAAAATGATGCAGTTTCACAAAGCTATGCTCCGGCTGAACCGAATGACCCTCGAATAGGCTCCAGTCTGTCTCTCTCCCTGATCCCGGGCCAAAGCAAGCATTTAAAGAGTCTATTTACCTTTTCCAGATGGGAAGAAACATTCCATCTCCACACTGCTGCGGGAGTGTGATATGCAGAGAGTGCTGCTGGGGACCAGGCCTTCGGAAGGGGGGCTGCGGTCTGTCGTTCTGACCAGGCACCACCCGGGTCGCTCGCTGGGTCTCTCCAGCAGCTCCACAGTCTGCCCTACTTGGATGCTGAGTTCACTGGTGTTGTTCGCTACGAAGTCTTGCAACACGACCGTCAATTCACACCCTCCTGAAAGCTGATGGGGGGAGAGAGAGGAGAACGATATTGTAGCAAAGATATACAACAACAACTTGCATTTATATCGCGCCCTTCACACGGGCAGTGTCTCGGAAAGCTTTTTTATCTATCCAAATATATATATATACATATATATCTAGTGGGGCATATATATCCAATGCTGTTGAATATACAACGTTAATTATTATTGATGGCATTTCATAAGACAACGTTTAGTCCACATTCAACTTTGTCGTAGAAAAGACATCTTGTTCTTCAACCATCCTCTGGATTTTCTTGCTTAGCATTTTTCCTTTGTATCACAATAAGGGTTGAGAAAATCAACCTAAAAAAAACAACTTTTAGACATATCTAACGGCCGAACAGAAATGCACAGATTCATGATAGCAAAGGGCAGCTCAGAACAATTCACTGGGTCACGTGTCTTTAACCAGAGAGTAATTGACGATTTGAACGAGTTGCTAGAAAAGATTGTTGGGAACAGCTTGTTGGACTCATTTAGAAACGGTTTGATTTTGTAATGGGAGGACGGTAGGGGTGGGCGTTCTGGAAGGCCAAGATCTAAATGGGCCAAAGGATCTCCTCAATCCAAACTGATCTTACAATCCCGTGTGCAGCTCGTCTTTGGTCTCCCTCCCACCTCTCTGCCTTCCCTCACCCCTACACCACCCCTCCCCCCATGCTCGGACCCCGACATCTGACTGTTCAGCGCTTTGGGACATCCTCCCGACGTGAAAGGCGCTCTATAAATGTAATTTTGGAATTGTTGTTTCTTGAGCTTTTATATAGCTGTAACAGTTATCGTACTGAAGACTGCTGGAAGGGGTAAGAGGATGAAAGCGAGAGAGAGAGAGAGAGAGAGAGAGAGAAAGAGAGCGTGGCAAACTCAGGCTCAAAGTTTTCCGATAACAAAAACACTAGAGTTTTACTCCCAGTCTGTGATACAGTATTACACCAGCTGTTTGGCTGAACTCGTTTCATTGCTTTATGACCCCATCCATCATATTTATTGGCAGTAATAATGAGGGCGGATTGCATGATTACTGTAATACTAAAAGTTACATCATAGGAAATGTTGACCAGTGCATCCCTCCCGCCCCCCCCATTAGCACAGTAATTGCCTTTTAAAAAAAAGCTGAAAACAGCTAATTCTTTAGCTCAGTAAAGGGTATAATGGTGGCTCTAATCACTATCGCAGAAACAGACAAGTAACCAGAAACCACTATCAGGAACTTTTTGTTTAAGCAGCCACCAAACAAGCGAACAAGTTTCACTTGTAAATATTTATGTGAGGAACTATCGTAAAGCAAACGTCAAAGAAACCAGTGAAGAGGCATTGGTTTTCCAGCGAGGAATTTTCCGTCATCAACTGCGATGAATAACAGTGACTATCTTTGGCATCAAGCACTGGCGATCGATCCCTTGCTGGTCTGCAATCTCAGTTAACACAAGTAGTGGAAGCCCAGAAGCCTTCTGCCAGACATCTGACTGCACGAGCTCAAAGGAACAATTCGGAATTAACAATTCTAACCTTGCAGTGAATTGATCGATTCAATCGATTGAATTGATAATTTCCGTGACGCGTTAAACAGCAACTTTTTTTTATTCCCGCCACCCCCCCCCCCCCATAGATCTCGACCACCCAACACAGCTATTGATGTCTCTACACTGTGGTTAACGGGACCTGATCACGTATCCTGTAACCTTTTGTGCTGAAGAATTGCTTAGAATGACTATCTTATAATAATAATACTGGCATTTTAAAAAACAGAGGGATTAGGGGATATGGGGATAGGGCAGGTAATTAGAGTTAGGTCTGAAGATCAGCCATGATCTTATTGAATGGCGGGGTACAGGCTCGAGGGGCCGAATGGAATACTCCTGCTCCTAATTCTTATGTTCTTATGTTCTTATTTGATATAGTGCCTTATCACGTCATTAAGATGTCTCAAAGTGCTTCACAGAATATACTGTAAAGTGCAGTGACTGTGTAGTTTGTGGGCGAAACATGCAGCCAATTGTGCACAGCAGTGTGCCACAAACGGTCATGGATTGCGTGACCAAACTATTATTATCATCATTTTTTGGGGAGGAATTATTACCCCTGGAATGGATCCGCCAATCGACTGATAACAGGATTCCTGCTTACTCAACCCAAACTCACTGCCGTCCATTATAACTCATTATTATTGCTTATTATCTTAGATTGGTACTTGCTCAAGAGCCGACACTGCAGGGAGTAGAACAAGCATGAGATGGAATAAAATTGCGGTTTCTTTCTCGTCGACATCAGCTTCGAACACAGAAGTCGCACGACAACAGCTGAAATGTGTTATTAATAAGAAAGAAAATCCAAATGAACCTCACGACTTCCCAACTTAACCATTCAACAACTGTTTGCCATATAATGCTCATCATTCATGATTGAGACTTGAAGCTGAAGAGACCGGGTGGAGACACTTAAAAAGTAGGTTCTTCCCTCTCTTTGCGCTACAAATTAACCCTCAAACCGTAGGAAATCGAGGGCAGTGATTCCAAGGCAGAGAGAGGGGAGAGCCTTGGAATGCCTGGTTCATCAGTCGGCAGAAATTAGGTTTAACAGTTGGCCAACTGGAGAATATAAAAAGCAGGACGGACACACTTCAATGCGGCCAACTGTGGCTGATGAAGTCTTTGAGCACGAGATTCCCATGATACACACAAAACAAAATCCATGCAATAAGACAGAAAAGCATTGTCTGAGCTTATTTTCCTAAACGACTGTATATTCCTTTGGGTTTCCCCTTTCATATTGCACAAGAGTCACAAGGTCCCTAGCTGGTGGTAAAGAAGTGAATCTATACCAGAAAACAGCTTTTTTTAAAAAAAAACACAAAGTACAGCAAATTATAAAAGATACAAAACAATTCCTACCTCTCCACGATTACTTTTATACAGTCTTGGAATATCACACAGCGAAAGCCAGGGCCACTCATTGCCTACCAGCCATTGCACACTTACGACACGAGGGGCACTTACTGCCAAGCAAACACTGTTCACCGTGCAGGAGCTCTGCAGAGAATTGAACTGCTCGAAGCACATAGAGAAGCCCTGTGTTGTAGTAAAGCGAGAGGTCACATGCTGAACTGTGGTCTCAAAAGGAACTCTTCATGACCGATCGGAAGTGATACAAGCGAGCAGACAGCAGCTCTGTTTTCACCGCTTTGCAGCCTTCAAGACCTAATGATCATCTCCTCTTGCACTCAAAATCCTGCCCAGTCAAATCTTGGAACTCTGACAAGTTCTCCACAGAGGAGGACGTATGCTGAAATAAAACCTCTCTTATTACAGTTGGATTTACCCTGGAGCATAATATCACCAAAGCTACAAATACTGGAGAATCTGGGATGGTAAATAGCAGAGAGAGAAAGGGAGAGACAGAGAAGGGGAAACAAAAACTGGAAAAAATTGGAAGGCGGAGAGAAGGAAGCAAGGTCATTTATAAAGAAATGTGCCAATAAAATGAGGAAGAAAATCTTGAGTTTTACTGTATGTATATTAGAGACTTTCGGGCACATGATCTTAAAGGTTGTTCTTGAAGGTTTCCTTCAAAGAATTTTGAATCCTGATCATCGAATAAATTCCACTCAATGCGCTCCATCCAGCACATGAACCCAAAAGACTTGGTTTGCATTGAGCTACTGTGGAGATTTTACAGTCAAGTCAAGCAGTTCAATCTACTACTTTTCCAATTTTAATTCCAAGCGAATATACTGTATCACAAATCACTGGGTGGTTTAGTTGCAATTCACTTAAGAGGTAGCACCAGAGCTATCAACATCAGGAAAACATTTGGAGCAAAATACTGTATCGTAAACCTATTTTACGATAGAATGGCATTTAACCCACAGACTGCCACACGATCTGCGGAAACTTCCTTCCCTATGGGGGCTGGCTGGCACGTTCATGCTATTTTACCTCATGTTGCACCTTATATTTCCATCCTCATTCACATTCACTGCAAATTCAAACGAGTTAACTATTAATCCCATTCCATTAATCCCATTGTTGTTTGCAGGACATAGATGGATGCAAATTTGCTGCTGTCTCTGCCTGTGTATCATTCACTTTCAATTGATTTCATTCTGTCTCATCCTTTGACACTTCTCTTTTAGGTGAACTTCCCCTTATGGAAGAAAGTAGTTTTGAAACTGAAAAAGACGGTAGTACAGTAAAAGTTATTCTTTTACCAAGTTTCATTACTACTAAAAGCAGAATTTAAAACTAAAAACAAGGGCCCCACGTGTCTAATCTCACTCTTTGCTTTTTATTCAAACTGTTTGGATTTTTATGCATGAGGGAGATGGGATTAGAGAGGTATAGGAGCTGGGAACAGAAAGGATGGGAGCTTGTGTCGAGTATAAACACTGACACAGACTAGTTGGGTCAAATGGCCTAGTTCCAAGTTGTATCACTCTATGCCAAACCCTTGTAACTATACACAAATGCCACCTCTACCACGTTGTTTTTTTGAACTTTGAAATGTTCATGTACCTCAGCACTCACCATCCATTATGTGTATTAGTTAGTTAGTAAGTTAGAAGATTTTTTTTTAAGTTGACTATGGATTTTAATTTAATGTACATTTAAATGTCATGGTGTCACCTTTAATAACAGCAGCAGGATGTCAGGTGATTTACTCTCAACGTGCTTCGCGTTTCAGCCCCTATAAAAGTTGTTGAGACCCAGTCCCGTGTTTTACAAGTTGCACTAAAGCTCTGCACATAAATAATGTTATGCAAACTTCTGCGGCTGATTATCAGGAAGGCGTAAAACCATTTACCAGGCAATCTACTGACTAAAGCTTGTATTCATTGCAGGAAAAGGGCAGATGCACCACATGCAAGTACAGTATGTACTGCACAATTAATCCAGTTTGATCAACATCTGCAAAATCTGGATCTTTCCCATAAGTTACTTCACAGTTCTCAAAGGCTTGATCAGGCAGTGAGATAAAGC